AGGGGGTCAGGCTAGATGATCTGTTCAGGTCCCTCCTGACCCTAGCTACTATGAAACTATGAAACTATGATTTATGCTAACTGAGAAGATTCTCCCACAAGACGATCAAAACAATAATGGCTTCACATTGAAAGTTTTGGACCGAAGTTGGGAGTTGATATGACATTTATATTTAGATCAGGCTCTGCATTATCTTAATGATACAAAATGTTTGGTTTGGGACCATCTATAAATAAGAGTCTTGTCATTTTGCTCATAATTTTGATTGATAGACCTCTCCTTCAAAGGCTATCAACAAACAGTAGATTCATAGCACATAAGAATAAATGTGAGTTATGAAGCAAAGCAGGGCAATATTTTAGCTGCTGTTTGTTTTTACAGTTGAAGTTGTTGCATAATTCAGCTTGCAAAAATCCTTATGTAATATAAATTCTATTTTTCACTTATTGTTCAACATAATAGGTGTCTTACATATCCTGGCATAAACACTGCTATGAGCATTGATCATACTGTAGTTTTACACCTTGAACGTGGAAGTATGGGTATTTTAAAGACTGAAGGGCAGCTTGAACTATTTGAGAGTTTGATTCTTCAAGTGTGTAAGCACCCTCTGATTAACTACATGATCCAGAGGCAATTACTTGAAAGTTTACATCCACTGACTTTTTAACTGTTTGTGAAAATATTCCCTAATCACATTTTCTATCATGCAATCAAATTACCAGATTTTGGTGAACATTAAATAGGAATTAAAGGTTCATCAAGTCCTAATTCCCATTAACTGAGTGGCTTACTTTCTATGTAGGTTGATAGAGATCTGACCCATATTTTTTCTTTATGCTCTATCACAATAAAAGAATAACGATGCTGTATTATTATTATCATATACATATCTGAACAACCAAACAGAACAAGGTATAACCTAATCTATATCCAAGGGAATCCAAAATTTACCAGTGATCAGAGGTGACCCAAGCAGGGTGCGGGGCCTGGGGCAAATCAGCCTATGTGGGGCCCTGCCCCTGGACATGAGCAAGCTGGTGGTGGAATTTGGAGGGGGGAAGGAGGGGGTGCTGAGCAGCTGGATGTGAAGCTGGTGGCGGCATGGAGTCACTGCGCTGCTCCACTCAGTTCCACAGGACCTCACAAAGTGCGGGGCCGAGGGTACTCACCCTGATTCACCCCCGCTATGGACAGCCCTGCTGGTGATGACTTAAACTTTTGAGAGGAGGCCAACGATTTTCAACCCATCATACAAATATGTTCAGAGGGGACCTGGGTAGAATTTAGTTGACACCCAGATTGTAAAGATTTCAGGAACTGTAGTTAAATATCTCAACTCTTGTTACTATCATAACAGAACATTATACTGAAGTAGAAACTTAAGACTCAAGGGCCTTGTAAAACATTACAAACAAAGGTTTGAATTTGACTTGGGCAAGTTTATGCTTGATGTTGAATCATAAGGACTTCATTATGCCTTCCACTGATGCAAACTTAACACTGTTAAAGCCTGAGAAAAAAAAAATTGAGGGAAAAAAAATCCTGTTTTCCCAAACTTGCTACAGTAAAAGAATTTGCATGTAGTATAGGGAAATAAATATCTGTTCATAATGTATCAGACATATTAACAATGTTGCAAAGGTTGCCGGTAATCTGCCAGTCTATCCCTCCTTGAGTTATCCATCTCAAGGACAAGGACATAATTTTCTATGAGTGAAGATGTAATTGCATAACACTACAATAAAACAATGTAATGTGCGGGAAGTATGTTTTGGCAGGTGATTATAATAAAAAGTTACATTATAGGGTGTTAGCTAATTTACATGTGATAGACAAAATTTATTCTTATAAAATCAATCAAAAATACAACAGGATATAAATAGTTGTGGTTTTTCTAGGCATATTTTTTATACACGCACTTCCCGTTTGCTATGTAATACAAAATACTACAAAATAATGGTCTACTGAAGTAATTCTCATGTTAACTATCGTGTATTTGACTACTGTGGTATCTTTCTTCTAAGAAATAATGGTAGGAAAAGCAATTTGTCTGAATTTCAGATCTATGTTTTTCTGCTGCTAGGTTCCTCCTTGTTTACTCATACACTCCCATTTTAAACATCTTTATGTTTAAAATAACTGGAACATGGTGATTATATCTGATGCCTTCTGAAGCAAGGGAATGTCATCACCTGCATATACTTTCCATTTGGAAGCAGAACAATTTTAATTGAAGTCATTAGGAAAAGCATGTCCTGGTTACTTCTGATAATCAAGCCACTTATATTTAGGTATCTAAATATAGGTTAAGGTGCTTGATGTTAAGCATCCAGGTTTGAATTTTTTGGGCCCAGTGTTAAAGAGAAAGGCACGGTAAACATAAAAGTCCAAACTGTGCCCTCAGTTACCCCATTGTGTGTGTGTGTGTGTGTGTGTGTGTGTGCGCGCGTGCACGTAGGCACCATATATGTAATGTGATATGGAAATTTAGTTGCTCCAGATTTACACCAGGGAAATGTGAATTTGACTCATGTTCTTTCAGAGTAGTTACAGCTGGACACTGATACACAGCTGCTTTCTCAGCTTTGGCGGTATTAGCATCTGTGTTGTGTCCTGGTTACTCAGGCTAACATTGTTCTTGAGATAGGAAAGATATGGTTAAAAGTGCACTCTGGGAAATAGATCCAGTGTCTTGAAATTCTCAACCTTCTCTCCCATCAATGAAATAAAGAACTTGCTTCTGGAGTCTAAATTGTCCTAGTCTTTCAGAAGTATTTCTGTTCATCTCAGATACCCATGAGCTCAATATTTTTTGTGGATTTAATCACATTGGTTTTTAACCTGTCTTTTCTTATTGGGTGTAGCCATCAGTTTCACTCTGCTGATCTGGTGAAATGACATCCCCAAATATAATGGAGGGATGGATCCCAGAATTCCTGTCTACTCTACAAACAGCACCTACAGTTGTATAAACTTTAGCCATCCACAAATGCACCAAGCATATTTTCAGACTACATTTAGAAATCCATGAGTAATGTACCAGGGCAGTAGGGAAGGATGACATTTATATTAACCTCCTTTCTTCTTTCTTTCCCACTCAAGCATTTTTTCCTTTACTGTTTATGTTCCTTTCATTACCTTTATTCTTCTTTCTCATGCTGGCTCATAATTGAGGTAAAATCCCAATTAGAGGTAAAAATTCCAAGATTCCAGGATAAGGGATTTTTTTTATGCCTCTCAAGTAATTGTTTCAAAGTTTAGAGCCTAAAATCAGATATCTAAATCCACATTTAATTAAAGTGTCCTCATTTTTAAAAGCTTGAAGAATCTTAACTCCATTTGCTTTGCACTTCTGCAAAGAATGACTACTTATTTTATGGAAACTAACTCTGGGGTTAAAAGCCGAATTTTAGATGCGCAGGTTGGATTTAAAAAAAATAAAAATATACAAAAACTCCTTGGTGTGGTCATATAGCACTAAAAATATTGACTGGTTTTGTTTTCTTATGCTAGAAATGCTGCATAGTCTTAATTTGTAAAACTCTTTGGTTCAAATGTTCAAAGCCAAGAAGGGATTTATCCTTACAATTCCAATTAGTACTAATTAATCAAGCCGGTCCAGAGAGGTGATACTCCCCCTCTATGCGACTTTGGTTAGGCTGCAGTTGGAGTACTGCATCCAGTACTGGGCGCCACACTTCAGGAGGGATGTGGCCAGCCTGGAGAGGGTTCAGAGGAGGGCCACCTGCTTGGTGAGAGGGCAGCAGGACAGGCCCTACGAGGAGAGACTGAAGGACCTGAACCTGTTCAGCCTCAGTAAGAGGAGGCAGGGGGGGGACCTGGTGGCTGCCTACAAGCTCATCAAGGGGGAATAACAGCAAATAGGCAGAGCTCTTTTGTCCCCAGCACCACCACCTGGGGTGATGAGGAACAATGGTAATAAGCTGATGGAGAATAGAGTTAGGTTAGAGATCAGAAGGCAATATTTTACAGTTAGGGTGGCCAAAATCTGGAACCAACTTCCTAGGGAAGTGGTCCTCACCCCGACCTTGGGCATATTCAAGAGGAGGTTGGACGATCACCTGTCTGGGGTCTTATGAACCCAGCATTCATTCCTGCCTGTGGCAGGGAGTCAGGCTAGGTGATCTGTTCAGGTCCCTCCTGACCCTAGTTACTGTGAAACTATGAAACTATAATCCTTGTCAATAAAATTTAGTTATGTGATAATAAGATGATAGAAATAATACCGGGAAGTTGTAATTTATTAAATAAATATTATCTATCCTGGTTCTTACTGGATTGCTTAACATAATATGAAAAGTTTAGTGTATCTTTCAGTCATAAATCTGTGTGATATGGTAATCCGCTAGGATGGTTGAATCCACACACTCTTTTGAACAAAGAAGTGCTACAGAGATCATCAAATTTTGTAGCATTTTTCTGGTATTAATTAGCAACATAACTGGATCTCAAAATTATAATTTAGGGTTTAAGGCTGATGGAAGAGTACAATTTCTTATAGAAAGAATGAACATATAATCTTATAACTTCCTCCTTTATCCTCTCTTATCCAATTGGTTTGTAGTCCACAAGTTTTGGGTCATGTTTCAAGGTAGACAGTTCAGTTAATTTGGGGGGGGGGGGGGGGGGGGGGGGCAAAGCCACTTATTTAGTTGTAAAGTGTCTTGCGTACCTTGTGTGCCTTAAATTTTCAGAAACATTGGTTTCATAGGAGTTGCTTAGATCTCGCTGAAAGAAAAAAAGAAAAGAATAGGAAAAGAAGATCTAAGTGGGAGAACTTGGTATGAAGCTTTCATTCCAGACTGCTAGTTAAGTTTTGGACTGTGTAAATAATGACTGAAAGTCCTAAATTGTTCAGTGGCTCTTGTGGCCTGATTTGGTAGGCAAACCTTATCTTCTTGTTATAAGAGTCCACATCACAAAATATTACAGCATCACTGACAGTTCTAGTAGTTGGGACAATGAGATATTCCTGTCTAGGGAAGGTGTCTCCCAATCTCAGAATAGATCAATACTGGGAGGAACAGATCCAAATGGAGTGTGATGATCCAGTTGCACCCCACTTTCTGCAATGTAATTCAGAAGCTCTGGTTCCCCACAGAGTCCAGACCTCACCATAGAAGCACCAAGCAGAGGACTTAATTTTTAAGTCTCTGAAGCAAGTAACAATGCCTCTTCCTATCCGCACCCTCTCCCTTTTCCTCAGAGTTTATTGGCATTTTCCCTGCTCTTCTATTCTCCCCCTCTCCCTCTCAACTTACACTTCTGGGTGCAGAAAGGGAAGGCCTACCCACTGCCACCATTGTCCCTGGCTGACCCAGGTGTAGGGGTGCCCCAGAGCTGCTTCTACCCTGTTCCAGCCAAGGCTGAAGGCAGCAGTTGTGCGGGGAGCTGGCTTCAGCTCAGGACATCCCAGTGGCCAGGGTATTCCCACCATCCTGGGACCAGGCATAGGGAGGGAGAACCTACGCACCACCAACCCTGTCCCCCATGAAGCCCAGGTTGGAGTGGGGCAGAAATGTCTGGGATAGCAGCAGCAGCCATTTGGTTTCCCCTTGCACCCAGAAGCATAAGTAGAGAGGGCAAGCAGGGGAAAAGGAGGAGAGGGGAGGGAAGGTGTCAATGAGCTTGTAGGGGAATGATAGGATTTTGAAGTGGATTGGGAATGGGAAGATTCTTATCTGATTTGGGAACTTAAAAGAAGCTCCTGGCTGCTGTTCCAGTGGTGTGGTCTGCCCCCTTGGTTGGGAGGAGAGGCTGAGAGTGAGAGGTACAGCCACCATGCAGTGCTCTTGCACCTCCTTTCAAAATCTTGGATCCACCTATGAAGACCGACAGCATTATGAAGAAATGAACACTATTCTATGTTTCAGTAGAGGATTTTTAGTCTCTGGAGCTTTCAATCCAGCATTAAGATGTAAAAAAAAATAATATGGCTATATAATTCTACTGTGTATATTAAAATCAATAACCTACTATGGGTGGCAATTGTTATTTTCTCTTTAAAGAAAGTTCATTACACATGGGAAAAGAGATCTTAGGACACATGTTGTATGCACAGTCTTCTGGGGTTGGCAATAATAGCATTTGTAAATTCTAGCAATTATAGGTTTCTGTTAGTTTGGTATCCTTAAGAGATGAAACAAGCAAGCCTCTATATGAGCAGAATAGATAATACTTTACAAATGTCAGGGTTTGTTTCTGGGAAACTAGTCTTGCAGTCAAGAAAAAAGGAAAGAAATGATAGGAAGTCACCAACCATATATATATTTTTTAATTAAGTATCCCCATGAGCTTGAAGAACAAATATGTAATGCAGGGAGTGCTGCTTCTATTTTTGCCTTGACACTGGGTGGTCCACTGGGGCAGTGAACTGGCCTTTCAATATCTTGGTTTTAATAACAGTACAGGACACAAGTGAAAGTGAGTCTGATGGGCTCATTCTGCTCCCTGATCATACCATAGTATCTTTGCATAATATGTTCTCTCTTACATGCGGTGGAATTTGGAGACCAAGGAAAATATAAAGTTTAAAATCAATTAGCCAACGTAAGTATGATGCAAACATATACTATCACATACTTTATTGTCTTTTATGGTGCCTACATATTATGGTTGTTATGGTTGCTGTAGAATTTTGGGAGTTTTAATTTTGGTATTTTTTTCCATTTGCTATACTCTATCCATTATGCTTCTTCTAGCACTTTAGCATAGAACATCTTTAAATCTCTGCTGTCTCCTTCCATTTTGTTATCTAGTCTTGGTCTCCATTTTGGTATATTGCTTTCAACCAGGCTAAAGATCACGGTCATCCATCCCCCAACAGATGTGTCTAAACATCTGGAATTTCTTCCCCATTGCTGAGGAATAAGGGTCTGTTTCATGCTTTTTCCATTGGAACCGTGCATGCTAATTTTCTGAATCAGTGCCAACACTGTAAGAATGAAAAGAGTAAGAAAAACATGGTAAGTGCCCACATGTAATGGAACTGGCAAGAAGATCTGCTATCGTTGCAGGCAAGAACACTTGGGTGACTCAAACTCTGTTTCTCTTCAGTGACTACTCAGAGGTCTCTCGGAGGCCTGATCTCACATAACTTTTATGAATAACAGTGGTGTCGTACTCTGAGGCAGAAATGATGGAAATGTACTTTCTCATGCTTAAGGGCAGAACTCAACAGCCAATTTTGGGTTGGTATAAAAATGATATTTAGTTCAAATTTGTAAGGAACCTGCTAATATTCATACATTTCCTGACCCTGTTTCCCAGGAAAATTTCAAATTTTTCTGGTGAGGCAGGTTTCTGTTAGAAACTTGCTTGGTTTACTGGTCTAATCCATCAGAAGAAAAAACTAAAATTGATCATAAGGAAAACTAAAAATGACCAGTTTAGGCTCAGAATCCAAATCAAAATGAAAATATTAAATAAACTAACCATTGGTAAAGAACACATTAAATGTTAAATATATCTTACCCTGGAAGTGTTATTAATAACAGAAGTAAGCTTTAAAACTTATGATCATAATGTACATTTAAATGCAACAGAAAACTGACTCAACTGAAACAAAACCAAAACTGAATTTATACATCAGTGTTACTAACAAATGATAATCTCTGGTGATGTCAACCCAGCATATTTGATAACATTCATATGTAAAGAAATGAAGCTTGATATATAGTTTTCTTGTATATATTAAAGGTGATAACCTAATATAGTGAATCATTTTGATTCTCTCTTTAAATAAATGCAGCTTACTAACTTCCAGTAAGTTATCAAACATTAGTATACATTACAGGTTTTACTAAGCTAAAAAATGTAGTGGATGCTCTATGCAATGCATAGAAGTCATGGCTTTGTCATACAGGTCTTGTAGTTTATGGGCTTCAATCCAAGCAAACATTTTTACACTTGCATAATTTACTTTAGGAGAATAACCTTACTTTTGTTGCATTTCATGGTGAAGTTTTTATATGGCTGATTTTATGACATAGTTGGCTTTATGGGACTGTGTCAATAAAGTTCTGCTTAACCATTTGCAGAATATGGTCTTTTGAAGATTGTCCCATGGGGACAACAAGAGATGGGTGGAATACACCTCCTGCAGTGTGGGTTGCAGTCAGGACAACCTGCCACAATGCCAAGGAAAAATACCCCAGTAACTGGGCAAACTCACTCCCAAGGGGAACAGCCAGGGCAGACAAGCAACAGAGACAATAAAACCCTGTGCAATTTGTCAACCACTTTTCTATGTGGCTGGGGCTGGCACGGAAGAGTGACCTCATTGGTGAAAGTTGTCTGGCTGGGATAAAAGCTGGTGGTGAGGGAATAGCTGGGGGAAAGCAGCAGGGAAGGAGCTGTGGAATCTCCCCCCATGCTGACCAGGGGCCTCCTTACCACCTCAGGGAAAGGCTGGCGAGGGCCCTAGCAGAGGGGTCCAGCTCCAATTAAAGGGGCCCATCACAGACCAGTGAGGGAGCCGGATCACCGGAGCACACCGAGGGACAGTGGAATGTCCAGGTGCAGAATGTGTGAGTGGGGAGGAGGCTTAGGTCCCTCCCTAGAGTCTCTGTTCTTTCATTCTTTTTTGGTTTCCTTTTTTTAAGCCCTGGAGCCTAGGCAAAAAGGCTGCCAAACTTACATCAAGGGCTGGGTGCCTGGGGCCCTTCAGGGACTCTTGATGCAGACAGGCTAAACCAATCACTGTGGTCGCCTTTCCACCCTGTGTAACCCCATGCCACAGGGTGTCAGAACTGTAACTAAATCACAGCCTGCAGGCTACAGGCTATAGCCCTCAAGACGAAAACAGCGTGCAGATTTGATGCGCCGACAGGATGCTGAAGGCTAGAGAGAGTTGGAGATTGGGACATGATGCTCAAGCAAGGTGAGACACCGATCATCCGGCTGTGCCAACAGGCTGGGAAGCACCCACTGGTGATGACACCCAGTGTGTCCCCCTCTGTAGAAGGAAACCCCACTACTGAACACAAAACCCAAGACTTGGCAGGCGAGTATTGGGGTATCCCTTGGGAAGAATGCAATCCAAAAGCGCGGAAACCAGGGCCGCCTCCAGGGCAGACTCCGAGCTTCTGCTCCAGGGTCACAGGAGAGAGGCTACACAAAGCCAGGTGGGTGCAAAGATATTCACTTCTTTACAAAAACTAAATGTGCTAGCTTTAAATCACGGTTAAATTACCCAGACTCAGTTGGTACTTAAAACTAAGGTGTTCTGTTGCTGACCACACTGGTTTAGTTTCAGTATAACACTACAGAAGCAGGAGGAATAGAAGGGGAGAGGATAATTACAAGAATCTTATCCCATTTGGAGAAAAAAACCTCCCATGACTACATTGTGCAATAACAAATGATGATAGATTCTATTAGAACATCAAAGGGAGTTTGTACGTCAGAGGAAGTGAAAGCATGAAAGAGGGGTTTTTTTTTCTCCAGAAAAGTTATAGAATATCTTGGCTGATATAAAATAAAAATGAAGATAAGCAGAAATAGATTATACACCACATCTTGTAGGACAAGAAGACAATTAAAGGTAGAACAGAATACTTTTGACATTTGAAATGTAGACGTCAAACAGAAAGAAAATATTTGCCTCATACTAAAATCCATTGCCCTCCCTTCCAGTTAGAGGATTGTTTTAGAGCATGGGATATCATCTGTAACTGGACAGAGCCAGTGAATTCACTTTTATTTTGCTTTAGTTGAATCTGTCCTCA